AAGTGGTTGCTAGGGCGTGGCTAGAAAGTTTAAAGGTGATCAGTCATTGGCAGTTTGATAGTCTGAGTTAAATGAGCCCAGTTAGAGTTCTGTGCGACAGTCTGACGCAGAGTTACGAGGTCACAAAGTTTGGTCCAATGTTAAGTCTATGGGATTTTTCCGACAGTCCCGGGACGTTTTTCGGAAAACCGAAAGTCCAATCAGTCTGAGGAGATATAGCATACCGAGTCAGAATAGTTTGGAGGTCTGGTGTGAGTTTGGTGGTAATAGTTCGAAAGTTCAAGGAGGAGATAGATTTTGATTTTTAGAGTCAGAAGAAGAATAATAATAATAAGTTTAGAAAGGATAACAGTAGTCTGGCTTTGACAAGCCAGCCTAATAATAATAAGTTTAAGTGAGATAACAGTATGTTGGCTTTTCAAGCCACCATAATTAGATGTAGTTTCATAACAAGCAAACTCAGTTCACCTTTTGAAAAGAAACAGTCATCAGCTGCTTCCCCTCATTCTGCCTCCTTTCTTTTTCCTTCCTGTCTTTCTTTTTTTGAAAGCCCGATTTGGGCTTTTTACGCAGCATGATCAGGCTCTAGACTCACTGCGTTACATGTTTGCCGCCGGCTGCCGTCTATGGGCGGACTAAACCATTTATGGGGGGGGGGGTTATCAATATATTTTGAAATAAATAATGACATTGACATCAATTGAAGGGGCCAATTAATTCGAAGTAGGCTACAAAAAAAATAAAAAATAATAAAAAATTGGTGGGATTTCAAGGGGCCCTCTCCCTAGACGGGGCCCTGGGTAGTCAGGTCCACTTTTCCCCCCACTACCACGCCCATGGCTGCAGTTATAAACTGCTTACTAATGCTTATTGAGGTAGAGTTAATGCTTAACAGATAATGAATTCACTATTTGCTAATGCTTAATAAATGATTAATAGTGTGCAGTTATTATAAAGTGTTACCAAAATAACTGCATGCATCAGCCTGGATTTGAACCCATTATATCTTACTCACTTTTAATCTCGATTCCACAACGTGGAGTATACATCCTCAATTGGTGTAAATGTTTCTTTGCTGAAGCTGCTCCAGAATAATACATAAAATTGTACTGTAGAGACGAGTTTCCAAATGTTTCGACACATTTGCTTCGACTGTTTCAGTGTTTCATAACGCCTCGCTCTGCCCACCACTAAATAGAAGTGTTTTTGGTCACTTGCATGCATATCAGCCTGTTGTTGGAGACCCCCAAAACCAAAACATGACCTTTTAGGCACAGTTTACACTGGTGCGTTTTAGTTATAAAACAGCGTTTTAAAATAAAAACAATCCGCGTCCACACTAGCGTTTCTGAACAACTCTCCGTCTACACCAAACCACTGAAAACTAACATCACGTGACCACATATACACACTCTCTGGCATGCGCTGCAGCATATCTACTCAGAGGAGAGCTGTGCTCGTCGGACTGTTCATCAAGGATCTCCCGCTGGATCTAATCTCACTATAATTGCTAAACGTGATATTTAATTCATCTTGTTGTCTATATTCAACGACATGTTCCTCGAGTTTGCTCTTTTGAATCGATTACTTGTTCTCAGGTAACGTGTTTTGGCTAAGTGCAAAGATAAGTTAATAATGTAACCACTGTACGTTATACTTTTATAATGGCCGTTATTGATTATTAAAACTGACATTCAGCAAAAGAGAGGGTGTGTTTCGTATTTTCAATGAGAATGAAAGCAGGCAGTGATGTTATCGGCTCTGCTTTGTTATAAATATTCATACAGTGAAGATGACGCTCATGTATGCAGCACGGCGCCTCAACATTTCTGCTGTCTGATAAAGTTGTTAATATCAATATGAAAATAGCAGTTCCTTATATTATGCTTTTATTTTATTGTTAAGATAGTGAAACAACGTACGCATCCATGATGATGTTAGCGAGTTATGCAGTACTCTGTTCCCTTTGGAGATTTACCCGACATGTCCTCGGGAGTCTGTTTTCCGTATCAAACTTGCGAAGTCTGAACTTACAAGGAGAGGATGCAGGACTGAACTGTGTGTTAGGCTACTTAATATTGAGGGAAAAGCCCCAATCAGAGAGGCCAATGTCTGCAGCCCCGCCTCTGTTTTCATATGTCTCCGTTTTCCATCATCCACACTGAGACGGAGCAGCAGCGTTTCAGAATGAAAACGGCCTCTTTGCATTTTCAAAACACTCAGTTTTCGACGCTTGAAAACTACGGCATAGTGTGGACGATTGGCACAACTATAGCAAAACTCAGTGTAAACGGGGCCTTAGAATGCAGAATAGGGGCTCTTTTAGTAAAATGGTAATATATGTTTTAGTCTATGATGGTCTTATAACATTTCTTCCAGATTTAAAATAATAACAATAGCATTAAAAAGCATTTTTCTTGCAGATTGTTGTTTTTTTCATGACTGAAAATAGCTTATACTTTAACTAGAGCAGGTTTACATCTTTTTTTACCAAAATGTATTTTTTCCTTATTATTTTGGAGTGAAATATAAAATGCTGGATGATTTTTATACACTATTATCATCATTTACTAAAGTGTATGTCAACAGAACATGATTTATGATGCCGTACTTATTGAGGACTGTGTAATCTAAACATTGCCTAAATATGAATGATGCTTATTTAAACTGCTGTTCACACACACACACACACACACACACACACACACACACACACACTCATCCAACGAAGACCTGGCTGTACTGTCCGCTGTTCTCAGAGCGGTTTTCTCCATTTTTCTCCACGTGTTCTGGAAAGTGTGGTTTAACGCAGGAGTTTACAGCTTCAGACAGATCTCCGGGGAGAGACCACATCTTCTTTGCATGTTCAGACACTGCTTCTTTATTCAGCTGAACAAGGAGAGGAAGAAAAAGAAGAAGTGAGACATTAACGAAACAATTCTGAGGAAAAACTATTCCATCAACTATTCCAGCATATGCTTTACACAGCGGATGCCCTTCCAACCACAACCCAGTACTGGGAAACACCCATACACAGTCACATTCACACACACACACACTCAGAGCCAATTTAGTTCCTCTATTCCACCTATAGCGCATGTGTTTGGACTGTGGGAGAAACCAGGGGCTATATTATTTTATAGCACCCGGAAGAAACCCACGCCAACAGGGGGAGAACATGCAAAGTCCACACAGAAATGCCAACTGGCCCAGACAGAACTCAAACCAGCAACCTTCTTGCTGTGAGGCCACAGTGCTAACCACTGAGCCACCGTGCGAAAGAAATTCATAAAAGTTGGAAACCAAGAGGAGAAAATGACACTCTAAAAAAAATTACAAATAAAATAAATCAATATATTAGAATTTTTTTTTTACAATTTAATTAAATATTGTTAGGCATTTAATTTTGGTTTTATTTATTTTTTTCTTACTGATTTGATTGATTATTCTGATTACACTGCAAAAAAAAAAAGTTTTTCTTAATTAGAGTTTTTATGCAGTGTTTAATATTCTTAAATCAAACAAATATTGTATTGTTTTCAGAAGTAAAAAGTAGGGCCAGACGGAATCTGCGGAAATTTTTTGCTATTTCTGCTGAGAATTTTGGTAAAAATCTGCAGATTTTGTGAGTTAAAAAAAGGGTGACGCAGTGGCGCAGTAGGTAGTGCTGTCGCCTCACAGCAAGAAGGTCGCTGGGTCGCTGGTTTGAGCCTCGGCTGGATCAGGTGGTGATTCTGTATGGAGTTTGCATGTTCTCCCTGCGTTCGTGTGGCTTTCCTTCAGTTTCCCCCACAGTCCAAACACATGCGGTACAGGTTAATTGGGTAGGCTTAATTGTCCGTAGTGTATGTGAATGAGTGTGTGGATGTTTCCCATGTTTCGTAAAAACGTGTGCTGGATAAGTTGGTGGTTCATCCTGTCGTGGCGACCCTGGATATACAAATCCAATTAGATTCACATAATTTGGTAAGCAAAGCAAGTTTCTCGTATAATTTCTCTACTAAAAGACAGACAATATTACTTAACAAACTGCATTGCACATAAATCAGATTAATATTTCTACATTAGTCAATAATATTCCTGAAATTAATAAAAAAACTGAATAAATATAGATTTACACACATTTACTCAAGTAAATAAATAGAATAAATGATGAGCTAAAAATCTGCGGAAATCTGCAGAAAATCTGCGTAATTCTGAGTGCGCAGATTCAGTGTGGGCCTAGTAATAAATCAAAATTACATGTAAAAACATGCTAATCTGCTAATGAGACAGATTATTTAGCAAAAGCACAAACGAGATTATTTTACTTACCCCATTGGCAGATTATTGTTGATTTACACACACTACCTGTCTTCTGGCCTATCCAAGTTTTAGGAACAGCAAATAATATCTTGACTTCTAGTTGATCATTTGGTATCAGAAGTGTCTTATATGAAAGGCAAAGGCCTCTAGATTTTGCTTATTTGAGCACAATAAAATCTGATCATGTCTTGATCATTAATGATTTGATTAGGACAGTAAGGTCTGACTCTGCTCAGACTAAAGTCTCATCACTGAACAGAAATAATGTCCAGTATAGAATATAAAGAGTTCATCGAGATCTTTTGGATTCATCTCCAAACGCCTCCTCCTTCATCTTACCCCAGACATGCTCAATAATGTTCATGTCTGGTGACTGGGCTGGCCAATCCTAGAGCAGCTTGACCTCCTTTGCTTTCAGGAGCTTTGATGTGGAGGCTGAAGTATGAGGAGCGCTATCCTGCTGGAGAATTGTCCCTCTGCTGTGGTTTGTAATGTAATGGGCAGCACAAATGTCTTGATACCTCAGGCTGTTGATGTTGATCATCCACTCTGCAGATCTCTCGCACGCCCCCATACTGAATGAACACCAAACCATGATTTCTCCTTTACTAAACTTGACTGATTTCTGTGAGAATCTTGGCTCCAGTAGGTCTTCTGCAGTATTGATGATGATTGGGATGCAGATCAACAGATGATTCAGCAGAGGAATCCACCTTCTGACACTTTTACACATCATCAACTAGAAGTCAAGTTATTATCTGCTGCTCTTACAACTTGGATCGACATCAAAACTTTTGTCAGGTAGTGTATATGTTTGTAAATATATTTACTAGAAAATGCTTCTTAATTTAAGAGTTTTTAGATATTTGCACTATAAACATGACAGAAACGCTAAGTAAGTAATGTGTTTTTGTAGTAAACAGTACCGACCTGGCTGATGAGTTCTCTGATTTTGGCGAGTGTTGCGGCCTGTTTCTTCTTCAGAGTCTGTTCCTGAGGAGAACCTTCAGCACTGCTGCTCTCTGAGGCCTGAAATACAGAGAACATTACATGTGTTATCATGCACATGGAGACACACGCGCACTAGACATGGGCTGGTAAAGGATTCTGACGGTATGATAACCTTGGTTAAAAATGTCACGTTATTGTGATTACTGCTCTAAAATAAGTTCTTTTTAAATGTCTGGGAAAAAACTACAGACTTTTCCCCCTTTGAACACAAGGGGCTCTATTTTGACGGTCCATGCGCAGAGCGCAAAACACAGGCCGCAAACGCTTTCAGGGCGTGTTTTTGCTAATTTAAGGATGGGAAAATCCGCTTTGCGCCGTGGCACATGAGCTAAAAGGGTTGAGTTTATTTTTTTAATGAGTTATAGGTGTGTTTTGAGAATAAACCAATCAGAGTCTCATCTCCCATTACCTTTAAGAGCCAGCTGCGTTGCGCCAAGAGCGCATTCGCTATTTACAGGACGCAAAGTAAGTCTAAGTGGAAAAACTGAGCATTTCACAAGCAAACAGTTAACAGTTTACAGCTTTTTAACAGAAAACTGTTAAACAGAGCATCTACTGCGTGAGAATGAGAGATAATGGATCACTTTCACTTTCGCTCTTGGATAGGGAAACCTTTACGCACAGACATCAATTAGTCTATAAATAATTATTTATTTTGTTAAGCGCAAATATTCGTTTCAAAACTATTTCTAAATTCAGTTCTAATTTCCAGCAAACGAATAAATGAATAATAATAACCAAGTGTGCTCAAAAACCTGAGTTATATCCTAAAACACATGCTGTGCCCCATATGGTCTAAAACCTGACAGGTGGGCAAATCTAAGCTTGTTTTTAATAAAACAAATATAAATATGGATATAATAAATAATACTGCTAATAATAATAACATTATACAAAAGCAAATTGTTATGAATGAACTGAAAAATCCTCCCGAGATGAAGAAGACATAAAAGCAGTGATTCTTCATATTTCTGTAGGCTAGAAAATAATATGTTTTGTAATATTTTAATCCTTTATATTTATATCCTATATCTATTCTTATTATATCCTATATATATCCTTAATATTTACATTTTTTCAAATGTAAAGATGTTTGCCTATTGCTTTGGTGTGTATTAAGCAGTGTGTAAGCGAGGTGCAACTCTGCGCTGGAGTTTAGACCGGGTTAGTTTTGGTCTAATGAAAAATCTATTATAGTTTCTCAAAATAGCAACGCACCAGCGGTCCGCCTCAGAACACCTTCCCTTTTCGACCAGAACGCCTATGGGCGCACATATGAGCGCTAATGCATTTGCTATTTAAACAGCGTAGCGCAACGCCTCAAAACCACTAGCAAACAAGTATTGCGCCACGCCTTGCGCCACATTGCGCCAGGTGTATGATAGGGCCCAATATATTTTATTTTAAGAGACTTATTTTGTAGCAGTAAACATTCATTCATTCATTTTCTTTTCGGCTTAGTCCCTTTATTTATCTAAGGTCACCACAGCGGAATGAACCACCAACTTATCTAGCCTATGTTTTACGTAGCGGATGCCCTTCTAGCTGCAACCCATCTCTGGGAAACATCCATGCATTCTCATTCACATACATACACTAAGGACAATTTAGCTTACCCAATTCACCTATATCGCATGTGTTCAGACTTGTAGGGCAAACCAGAGCATCCGGAGGAAACCCACGCCAACATGGAAAGAACATGCAAACTCCACACAGAAATGCCAACTGACAGCAACAAACATGTCAGGCAAAATAATTCAAATAAACCATTGCCTTCTGCTGTCTTCAATAGTTTCAAAATCACAGATAACTATATTGAAAATGGAGATCTTTCTTAAGATGGATGTAAAGTAAAGCCACTGCACTGTGAGCTCTACAGCATGCTGGATGTTGCTGTATGATTGATTTGTTTCTCAGATGTTTCCTGAATCATGTGCTGACTAGTAGCTTTTGATTCTATTCTGCTGGAGATACTGACCACATTTACAAAGACATCAGTGATCTTAATATTTGCTTTAATCTAAATAAGACAACCCTGCTGAAAAATCCAGCTTAAACCAGCCTAGGCTAGTTGGCTGGTTTTAGCTGGTCAACCAGGCTGGTTATAGAGGGGTTTTGGCCATTTCCAGGCTGGTTTCCAGCCATTTCCAGCCTGGTCTTAGCTGGTCAGGCTGGAAAATGACCAGCTAAATCCAGCTAAAACCAGCTTGACCAACCTGTTTTAAGCTGGACATAGCTGGTTTTGGCTGGGCTTTTCTGAAGTCCATTCAGCTGAATTGACCACAGGTGAACTCCAATGAAGCTGCTGAAACATCTCAAGAATGATCAGTGGAAACTGAATGTACCTGAGCTCAATTTAGAGCTTCACGCCAAAGGCTGACTACTGATTTACATGTGATTTTACAGCTTTTTTATTTGTAATAAATAAGCAACAATTTCTAAAACTCTGTGTTCACATTGTCATTATGCAGGATTGTGTGTAGAATGTTGAGGAAATCAATTAATTAAATTCCTTTTGGAACAAGGCTGTAAAATAAACAAATGTGGAAAACGTAAAGCGCTGTCAATACTTTCCGGATGCACTGTAGATCGATGAACATCATCGTGCCATCGCGATATCCACACTTCCTCTGGAGTTTCATGAAATTTCAAGAGTTCACACTTAGCTGATAATCAATAAAGCGTATTTGGCATGCTGTCCCGGGAGAGAGCCCTGAGCTCGTAATATCCTCGAGCCCGGGGCTCCCTCCCGTTAGAAGGGCGAGAGGGGAATTCGAGGTCAGGTAGGTCTCGAGAACTCCCCTGCTTGTCACCGTGAGAAGTGTAAACTCAGGTTGTATTGGGTGATAATTTGTTTTAGTTGATTGGCTATGATTTATGTTTTTGGATGGTGGGAGGAAACCGGGGAACCCGGGGAAAACCCACGCGAACACGGGGAGAACATGCAAACTCCACACAGAAACACCAACCAGCCCGGTGGGTTGGACTAGCAGTGTTCTTGCTGTGAGGCAACAGTGCTAGCCACTGGGCCACCGTGTCGCCCGATCAGAAAAAGTGGGAGGATGTAGGGGTGAAAAGGGGGGGAGCTTCAAGACGAAGATAACTGGAGCGGAAAACTCAGGTTATTTATAATGCTTCCGTAATCATCTAATAGGGCTGATTACGGAGCTAACAAGGAGCCAGCCGTGTTGATTATAAGCACGTGATCCTCTCGAAATTAGTTTATGAATAAACCACACTTTAAGTGTTTCATTTTTAATTTGTCGACTTTAACTGCAGTTTGGCTGTTTCAGTTTCATTCAGGAACATTTCATGCATGTCCCCCGTGACAAACGAGATAAGGGAACAGCTATGAACTTCTGGAAGAGTGTAGTTTTAATGGAATTTGATACCACATGCTGAATGGGAACAAAACAAGAGCATTTCACGATGCAGGTGTCTGTGGTCCTTCACTGACTCGGTAGGTGCAGGGAATAGCAGATGGATGATAACAGCCTTCTGAGCCTACTAGTAGGCACAGGAGTCCCCCGGCCCATATCAATCAGCTGATAACCATTGATAACGCTCATTCAATCGAGTGATAACATTCGAAACGGCTGCATAAGCACACACACACCACACATGAACAAACACAAAAACACACACACTAACACATCTTGACGTCATGCATGTTTAAAGCACACGCATACAAATGCAACATATGTTTAACAAGCGTTTCATGGCCCTCGTGTTCACGAATGTGACTGTGTATGTTTGTGTGTGTGTGTGTGTGTGTGTGTGTGTGTTCATTTGTCTGTGTGATGGACTAGAGAAAAGAGTCCATGTGCATCTTTTGTCCTCAGATCACGTTGAGCTGGCAGACTGTAGAGATGCTGAAGACTGTAATTCAGCTCTGAGCCTCATTTACTGAGGGAAAAATGAACTCTGTGAACTTCAACTTTTATCTGGAGGCTGTTTGAGCTGCTGCTGCATCAGAATTACTGTACTGAGAATCTGGACAAAAGCCTCGTTAGACAGGAGAGACTTGTGTGAACCATCTGCAGAGAATGTCAAGCCTTGATTTTTATGTAGAGTGTGCTTTATACAACTGTAGATGTTGTTAAAGTCTGCGTGAAATTAACATTTACAGTGTTTATTTTGCTAGCTCACACTGTTAGTCTTAAGGTGAACAATTAAGCATTCAAGTGTGCCTGACTGTTGTGTTCCCATAGCAACTATAGAATCACCACAACAGATTAATTACTATAGTTGTTTTGTTACCATAGCAACTGTAGAACCACTACAACAGATTAATAACTATAGTTGCTGTGTTACCATAGCAACCAAAATCAAAACAACAGATTAATTACTATAGTTGTTTTGTTACCATAGCAACTGTAGAACCACTACAAAAGATTAATAACTATAGTTGCTGTGTTACCATAGCAACCAAAATCAAAACAACAGATTAATTACTACAGTTGTTTTGTTACCATAGCAACCATAAAATCACCACAACAGAATAATTACTATAGTTGTTGCGTTACCATAGCAACCATAAAATCACAATAACAGAAAAATTACTATAGTTGTTGTGCTACTATAGCAACCACAGAATCACAGGAACAGATTGATCACTATAGTTGTTGTGTTATTATAGAAACTGTAAAATCACCACAACATATTAATTACTACAGTTACCATAGCAACTGTAGAATCACCACAACAGATTAATCACTAGTTGTTGTTACCATAGCAACCATAACATCACCAGAACAGATTAATTATTATAGTTGTGTTACCATAGCAACTGTAGAATCACTACAACAGATTAATAACTATAGTTGTTGTTACCATAGCAACCATAAAATCACCTGAACAGATTAATTACTATAGTTGTTGTGTTACCTTAGCAACTGTAGAACCACTACAAAAGATTAATAACTATAGTTGCTGTGTTACCATAGCAACCAAAATCAAAACAACAGATTAATTACTATAGTTGTTTTGTTACCATAGCAACCATAAAATCACCACAACAGAATAATTACTATAGTTGTTGCGTTACCATAGCAACCATAAAATCACAACAACAGAATAATTACTATAGTTGTTGTGCTACTATAGCAACCACAGAATCACAGGAACAGATTGATCACTATAGTTGTTGTGTTATTATAGAAACTGTAAAATCACCACAACATATTAATTACTACAGTTACCATAGCAACTGTAGAATCACCACAACAGATTAATCACTAGTTGTTGTTACCATAGCAACCATAACATCACCAGAACAGATTAATTACTATAGTTGTTACCATAGCAACTGTAGAATCACTACAACAGATTAATAACTATAGTTGTTGTTACCATAGCAACCATAAAATCACCTGAACAGATTAATTACTATAGTTGTTGTGTTACCTTAGCAACTGTAGAATCACCAAAGCAGATTAATTAGTATAGTTGTTGTGTTACGATAGCAATAATAGAATCACCACAGCAGATTAATTACTATAGTTGTTGCGTTACCATAGCAACCATAAAATCACCACAACAGATTAATTACTGTAGGTGCTGTTTTACCACAGCAACTGTAGAATCACCACAACAGATAAATCACTATAGTTGTGTTACCATAGCAACTGTGGAATGAATACAACAGAATAACTAGTTGTTGTTACCATAGCAACCATAAAAACACCAGAACAGATCAATAACTATAGTTATTGTGTTACCATAGCAACCATACAATTACCACAATAGATTAATTACTATAGTTGTGTTACCATAGCAACTGTAGAATCATCCCAACAGACTAATTACTATAGTTATTTTGTTATCATAGCAACTGTAGAATTACCACAACAGATCATTTACTATAGTTGTTGTGTTGCTATAGCAACTGTAGAATCACCACAACAGATTAATTGCTATATTCGCTGTGTTACCATAGCAACTACAGAATTAACACAACAGATTCTTTCAAGCATTTTAATACAGTAAGTTTCAAAAACACAATTTATTATTTATCACTACAGGATTTTTCTTGTGGGTTGCTGCTAAATTAATGGAAGAAAAAAATTTGAATGAGTTTGGATGAAGCATGTTAGAAAAGAAGTGTGCGTGAGTCATAATAACATGTTTCCTTCACTGCTGTAGACATCATTTTGCTGCATGTTTCACTGTAGTATTTTACCTGAGTGCTGTCATTGTCCAGCTGCTCCGTACTCTTGCACTTCTTCATTCTGAAACATTTATTAAAGAAGTAAAATAATGATGCTAATGTTGTTAGTAACACAAATGGGTGTAAATACAGTATAAAACACCATGAAATTATTTGTAAAATTATTTTATTTATACAATTCTAAAAAAAATTGTATTTAAATATTTCTATACGCTTTTTCAAACGTGTGTATTTTCAAAGAAATTAACACTGCTATTTGGGAAAGACATTACATTGATCAAAACTGACAGTTCAGATATTTATAATATTACAAAAGAATCTTTTTAAAATGAAATGCTGTTTATTTTATTTAACTTTATTATTTTCTTTTTACTTTATTTTAATATAAGAATCCAAAAACTATATATATGGAAAATGTTATAACATTTTTATTATTAAGTTATTTATTGTAATGGAGATAAAAAAAAAAAGTCATTAATTTTAAATAGATTTTCATTTGACATTTTTGTAAATTTAATTCTAAGTATGGGTTGCCATTGTTTTCAAACGACTAGTATAGTCGTTATAGTATATATAAGTTTATATTTTTATTCACATTTTAAATAATTTTTCTTAGCTGATCATAAAAAACTGCCTACATTTTAAATAATTAATAAATGTTATAGGTGTCACGGTGGTTCAGTGGGTATCACGATCCCCTCACAGCAAGAAGGCTGCTGGTTTGAGCCTCGGCTGGGTCAGTTGGCATTTCTGCGTGGAGTTTGCATGTTCCCCCCTTGTTGGGGTGGGTTTCCTCCGGGTGCTCTGGTTTCCCCTATAGTCCAAAGAAATGTGGTATAGATGAATTGGGTAGGCTAAATTGTCTGTAGCGTATGAGTGTGAATAAGTGTGTATGGATGTTTCCCAGTAATGGGTTGCAGCTGGAAGGGTATCCGCTGCGTAAAAACATATGCTGTATAGTTTCATTTCGCTCTGGCCACCCCTGACTAATAAAGGGACTAAGCCAAAAAGAAAA